GGGGACAGTGGGTGAGAGTGGGGGTAAGCCCCCACCCCCTTGTCTTGCTTAGTGGCTTCCTACCTCTCCAGGGCCCCAGGGCCAGGGTTTCTCCTTTGTGGGACACTGAGTCACAGCCTCTCTGCTCTCCCAGCAGCTTCTCCTGGGGCTTGGGAGCACTGGGTGTCCCTGCCTCAATGAGGGTCAGCCTGCTGGGGTCTGACTATGTGTTCCCCGAGAACTTTCCAGAGCATGGGTGTCCCTCTGGGTGCAGACAAGCTGACTGGCTGGAGTCCACCCAGACATGTCTACTGTGGCCCCTGCTCTGACACCCTCTCCCCTGTGCCAAGTTCCAGTCTTGCCCTCCCTTTGCTGGTAGCTCAGTGGCCCCTCCTCTTGACTCTATCGAAATGCCTCACCATCCTTGCCACCTCAAAAGGCACGGCTGCCATCTAGTTCTTCCTGCAGTGTCCATGGGCAGGCCCTTCACCCTCCACGGAGAGCCAAGTCCCAAGGTGCACCCAAGGAGTTGGTCTTCTCCAGATAAGTGCTAGGGTGTGAGTGTGCAGGTGGGCTTCCCAAAAGGCACACCTCCCAGCCTCCCGACAGCCAGAGCTGCCCACCCCTCTGGTATCGGCCTCAGCCTGGACCTCACCTTAACCACCCCAATCAGCAGGCTCAGGCTGATAGCAAAAAGCATGGTGATGAGCAGGAAGCTGGAGATCAGGTCAGCTGGAAGACAAAAGGAGGCGGTGAGCAGCCCAGGAGGCCCCCGGGGACCCCCTGGGCTCCAAGGACCACGCTCTGTGAGCCACTGGTGCAGGGGTACAATAGTGAACAGGAGCCCAAGTCCCACCCTCAGGGAGTTGAAGGGGCACAAGGATAACAAGAAGCCACGTTAGGACCTGGTGAAGTGTTCTTCCGAAAATAGCACAGTGATTAACCGGGGGCTTCAGGGGCAATGGAGGGCTCCTGGAGGAGGTGGACAGATAGCTAAGTGACATGGAGCTGTCTTTGGAGGAGGAGAAGGAGCTCGATGGGGTCAGTGCGGACAGAGCATGGTGCCGGGAGCCTGCTGGGAGTGTTGACTGATCGATGGAGGGGCAGTCATTGGCAGGTCTGAGCCCAGGAGTGTCCTGCTGTCTGTCACCCAGAAGACCTGGTTGGCATACAAAGTGCCATCCCACCTGTATTCGTGGCCTTGAGACTTAGGGGGAATAAGAGTCGTCTTTGGGGTGGCATACCAAATGTTCAAAGAAGGGGTGAGACTTCTGTGATGCCCTCCAACCCAGAAGGGGCAGAGTCTCAAATGCGCCAGTCTGCCCAAGTCACGTCTCTGTGCCCTCCCTCCCAGCCCTGCAGACAACACACTACCCCCACCCCCACCCCCATCCTCTACCCCCAGCCCCAGACCAGCCAGGTCTCTGTGCCCTCCCTCCACCCCACCCCACCCCCACCACCACCCACCCTGGGACTTACCGATCCGGAGGTAGCCTGTCTTTGAGAACTTGCAGGCAGCCTTGCCGTGAGCCACCTCCATGGAGTGCTCGATGAACAGCAAGATGCTCATGATCTGAGGAAGGGAGGGAGGGAGGGAGGGAGCACTGGTCAGCGGGCTCTGCAGCTCCACCACCTCCCATCCCACTCGGATGGAGGGCTCGTGGGTGAGGGGGACTGCCAGGTCTGTGTGGCCTCGAACCATGACAGTTCAAGCTCAGAGTCCCGCACCTTCCTCTCCCTAGCTGTGCAACCTGGAGCAAGTGACTTGACCCCTCTGGGCCACAGTTTCCCCATCTATAAATCCCATTGCCTTGGAGCCGATTCCAATGCACAAGGTGCCAGGAGAGAGCAGAACTGCCCCGCTGGGGTTCCCAGGCCGTAACCCTCGCGGAAGCAGACTGCCTCCTCTTGCACCACTGAGCAGCAGGTACTGGTTCCCAACGGCTGATATTTTCAGAGAGCAGCTGAGTGCTTAACCTCTGCACCACCAAGGCTCTGCTTCCCCATCTGTAGATTGGGGGTAATCGAGTAGCTGAGAAGGCTCTTGTGGGAACTGCATGAGACCATCCCAGAGCCCTCTTAGAACTTCCTGGGTCTCAGGAGTGGAATTGATTACTATTGAAGGTCAAGCCTGGGTCAGTGGTGGGACAGAGAAGGCCTGAGGACTCTTGCCGATGACAGGGACTCTCCTTTTTATAACAACGGGGTGTGGACACCATGGGGTGTTAGGTCTCGGATCTGAGATCACAGGGCTTCATGTTCCTGAATCATCACATATGGGACTGAAATGCCAGCTTCCGGAATGCAGTGTCCTCAGACTGCCTGCCCACCCCTCCCCACGGCCCCTCAGCCTCTTCTGCACAGTGAGAGAGTGATCATGCCCGCTTCACAGCATGGCAGAAGATGCGGAGAGGACAACTCCTTTAAAGTATCTGGCTGATCACAAGTGTTCAACATCGACTAGTTATGATTACTAGTGTCATGTCCCCACTGTGGGAGTCTGCACATGTGGGAGTCTGCATGTCCCTCAGCCCATGACCTGCGCC